AAAATTTCACATGGTTTTCGATAGTGTATCCCGTCCAAAGTGGTGTCCGAGACTTTCGACAAATGCACTTTTTATTCCTGTCATTTCTCAATTTCAAGACCACTGACTTTGTTGGCCCGTTGGCGAAACATCAGTATTATCACAAGGTAGTTGCCACTAACTCTATAATTTCAGGTAGTACATCTAGTGCCTTTTTCCTTCCACAGGTTGTTGAACGAATACTGTCAGATGGACGTACATTGAGCAAAGAAATGCAATTAAACGGAACTTATCAGGAACTAATCCAACCATGGGCCCTGAGGTGTCCGCCGTTGATGTTTACATGGCATGATAAGGCCTACCTGGGTGCTGCTCACGGGTTTGCCGGCATTTTGATGACGTTACTAAAGGTGAGCGACGATATTTTAAAGCCGATAACCGACTCGCATAATCAACGTCATAAACAGTGCAACAAAATTTCCCCATTAAATGCCAGTTTTTGCATGAAAGTAGATTTCAGCCTGCATCCCCTCCGCGTTTGGATTTTTGACGGATAGTTGGTGGTAACATTATTAACTTTTATATAGGTTTTGATAGATTTGAATAATTTATTTAACTCAGTTGTGAAAACCTTGGTGGGGTTCGAACCCAGAGCAGCAAGGAGAGGGCTTTTGTACAGCTAACGCACTGTGCCTGAATTGGTGGATTCCAGACGTTGCAGTTAACTTGTCAGTTGTCTTGAACCAAGTAGGGTTAAACTCACTCCTCCCGGTGGGATCGCGTAGCCCAGCTGCTTAGAGCGTTGGCTGTAACAAAGCATTTGGGTCAGGCTGTCGTGGCTTTGAATCCAACCAAGCCCAACGAGTTTTTTACAAGTGGGTATCAAATGAAGAATTATTTTCATTTTAGTCCGGAAAATCGCTTCTTAAGACTTCTGACTCAAATTATTGGTGAATAAAAAACGTCACAATAAATTGGGCACATAACGACTACGTGAGAACTTTAATTTGAATATGCCCAAGCTTTTCCGCAAAGACTCTTCTCTAGACCCTATATTACAGCAAAAGCGGTACGAAATTACGGTTTTGAATTACAAGTGGGTGATCAATTTCACTTTCCACACGCATCCTGCTCCTACACATATATTAGGCTTCCAAATCTAGAAAATACCACTCGCATGTTCGCTTTTATTGGCAAATGCCACCTATCACACCCTGGAGGACTTCATTAACTCCGGCTAACTGATCTTGACCACACCGATGATATTGCGCCGTTAGCTTCAAGCTTTCGTGGTCTACAGTCGGTAGTGTCGCGGTTAAATGAGATCGCTATGTCGGTTGGGCATCTTTATAAATTCCGGAAAGACGAAGTTGTTCTCGAGCTACATCCCTCACCAAGAAAAGGCAACCCTGGGGATTAATGGCCATCAACTTGAAGAAGTAGACAGCTATCGGGGCGAGACTGCTACCGAATGGGCAGAACAAGGACGACATTGTCTCCCGAATCGATGCTGCTCCCTGGGTTTTCCCAATTATTCGAAAGCGCCTATTGATCCAACGTGACATCTCCATCGCCACGAAGATTCGTGTTTACCGTACATCCATCCGGTCAGTCCTCTTCTATGGATATGAATGCTGGGTTGTGGGCGCTTCAAGTGAGCGAAGACCGGAGTTCTTTGACTACCGGTGCCTGAGGACGATCCTGCGAGTTAAGTAAAGCGACTTCATCTCCAATGAGACAGTCCGCATCCGCTGCGATCGTAT